AATATTAAATATAAAGGGAACAATTCAAAAAAATTCTATCAAGTATTTAAAAACACAAAAACGAAACAAAAAAAGTAACAATTTTCCTAAAAAAATAAAATTATATATTATTTTATTTTCCTAATCCCCTCTCTTTTTATCCATTCCCGCGGTCCCCCAAAGAATCATTGTAATAGGCTCCTCCATAAACCGTTTAAAATGTTGTAACCAAACTGCACCAACTGCGCCATCTACAACTCGGTGATCACAACTGAGAGTTACTTGGAGTGAAGTTACTGCTCGATACCTTTGAAAAAAATAAAAATATTTATTAAAATAGTTGAGTATATCAGAAGGAATTAACTCAAGAAAATGAGGAATTGGAGCATAAAATCGGAAAATAGAATTTAAACCGAACCGAGGAACCAAGAAAAGCCTAAAAGAACCATTCCGGCAAGAGCGTAGACAGGCAGGCCCGTAACCAGGGGGGGGTGAGGGGGGGAATTCCCCCCCCCCCCGAAATGGGAAAAAGGAAAAAATTTGGGGAAGGGCTGGGGCAAAAAAGTGAATTTTTTTGGCCTACGGCCTTCGAAATTTTCAAAATTTTCGCCTGCGGCGCTAAAAAAGGACGAAATCTGGCTTCTTGAGGTCCAAAATTCAAAAAATTTTCGCCTGCGGCGCTGAAAATCAAATTTTTCGGCGCCTGCGGCGCCGAAAAAGTGAATTTTTTTGGCCTACGGCCTTCTAAAATTAAAAAAATTTTCGCCTGCGGCGCTGAAAATAAAAATTTTTGGCGCCTTCGGCGCCAAAAATTTGGCGCAAGCAAATTTCCCCCCCTCGAAAAAAAATCCTAGTTACGGGCCTGTAGACAGGGAATCGTCAATTTCGAGAGGGAGGCTTCAGCCCCCACCCCAGGATACGCCCTTGCGTTCCGGACATTTAAAATCGAGAATTCTATTCACAATACACAATAAACCCAATTAAAAAATATTTCTTACTTTTCTTCACTGCTTTCTTCTTCAGCGGGCACAAGTTTACGTCTAGCAGCACCAATCGCAAGAATACACGATTGCGGTGGATTTATTATAGCAGTGAAGTGGTCAACGCTGCCAAACATGCCAAGATTAGAAACGGTAAATGTGCCACCCTGCAAAATAAAAAATTGATAAAAGTATCTTAAATATTCAAATAAAATTTTAAGAATTTTCATTCAAAATCAAGGCTTAAAAAATAAAAATTCACATTTAAAAAATTGGGGAAAATGTAAAATCAAAAAATTTTAGAAGATATGGTTGGGGTGAGCCGGGGGGTTTTTGTTCAGTGGACCGTTTTGTGGGCGCGCCTCCAAAATAATTTTGCAAGAAAGCCCGCATCACTTCCCAATAGAAAGTCGATGGTCCTCTATTTTTGTACAGTATCACATGTTTTCTTGTAAGAAAATTTCATAAATAACCTGAAACTCGTGTGGCTGTAATTTTCCATCCCTTGCTTTAGCAGCAAGTAATCCAATTTCATATCCAATAGTTGCAACACCTTTTGTATGTGCATCAAATATAATTGGCGTTATAAGTCCAGAAGGAGTACTAACAGCAACAGAAACATCAACACCCAAATGTTCTCGAATAAAACTTCCCATAAAAGAAGAATTTGCTTCGGGAACGCGAAGACAGGACAAAGCAGAAGCTTTGATAATAAAATCATTTATAGAAAGCTTTTGTGGCTTTTCGCCAGTCTTCTTTGCTTCTTTTTCTAATAAGGCGTTGAGCTTCTTTCGAACACTGAAGATTAAAAAAAAGTGAAATTAAATGAAAAAAATATTATTAACGTTGAAAAAATTTTTTTTTAATTTACAGATCAATTTGGGAAAATATAGAATAATTTTAGAAAAAAACGCATTTATAGGTGCATGTCAAGGACGTAGCCAGGGGGGGATTCTGGAGCCCCCCTCCTCCTAAAATGAGGAAAAAGGTAAAATATTGGGAGAAAACTCCATTTCAGCCACCCTGAAATCGAACCCTCTAAAATTTAGAAACTGGACGAGCACGAAAAACTAGTATCGTTAATCAACTAAAGAATAGTGGCAAGACTAAACCTTAACTAATATAAGACAAAGTTCCCCAATAAAATCGAGTTAATTGTAAGAAACAAGAAAGTCTCTTGGTCGAACCACTAGTTAATATTAAATCATATTTTTGTGTGTGTAAACAAAAACTGGGTTAAAAATTTCCCGACATCTATTAATAAAAATACCCAAAATAAAAATTTACTTACTCCATTAATTTGTCAATATACAATTCAGATGTAAGATAATAATGTGGAATTGTTGACTTTGCTTCTGCAAGACGTTTAGCAATTGTTTTACGCATATTTGACAAAGGAATATCGGTATATTCAGCAGTAGGAGCGCCACTGGGTATTGGAGCTTGTGCAGAGGCTTGTGACAAATCTGCAGCCAAAATACGCCCTCCGGGACCAGAACCAGGAAAAGACTTAAAAAATATGCAGTTAAGGCGAAAACAATTTTTAAACAAACACTCAAATCAATTCCTTGCTCCCCAGCAAGTTTCTTTGCTAAAGGTGACGCTTTTAATCGATCTCCTTTGGCCATAGTTTCAGGAGGAGGTTGAGTTGGAGATTGGACTGCAGGAGCTTGTTTTGTCGATTCCTGAGCAGCTGGAGCGCTGGCAGGCGGAGTCGGAGCAGCCACACTTTCATCGGCAGAAAATTCTTTAAATGCGGCAACATCATTTTTGTCTTGAACAATAATACAGAGAAGCTGGAAAAAATTTTTTTAAATAAAAAATAAAATTGTTAAACAAAAACCTTTCCAACAGGGACATCTTTAGAACCTTCTGGGAGAATAATTTTAGCCAAGTACCCTTCTTCTGGTGCCTCAAACCCCATTGTCGCTTTATCCGTCTCAATTTCACACATTAAATCACCTTCGCTAAGTTGATCGCCTTCCTTTTTTTGCCAAGAAACAATTGTACCCATCTCCATTGTTGGACTCAGTGCAGGGAAAGTAATTTTGGAATGGTCTGGGTAGTCAACTTAAATTAAGAGAAATTAAAAAAAATTAGGCTCTATTCCAAAAGATAGGCGGAATCGTTTTTTCATTACCTGCAAAGAAAGGAAAAATAGAGAAAAATGACTCGGACAAACAAAACACAAACGAAAATGTTTTAGAAATTGATAGTCGTCCGAGTTTTGTCTGTCCGCTTCCATCCGTCTCCATTTTTCCTTTCCTTGCAAAAAAGGAAAAACTAATGGAAAAAACGCTTCCGCCTATCTATCTTTTGGGATAGGGTCAAAAATTAATTTAAGTGATATTCCAGAAATTTTTTTCAATATTTCGAGCAAATATCTTAATTTTCCAATAAATTGTCCAATATTTTAGTATAAAAAAATTTAATAAATTAAAATTATATACATCGTTTAGAAGTCAAATGTAAGTAGCGAAAGCCGGTATTTGGTCGAACAATGGCCAGACGAAAATGTAAACCCTGATGAGTAGAAAATCGTTGACGCAATCTTAGATTTCGCTTAAATATAAAATTAAAATTAAAAATTGAGAAAAAAACAAACCGAATAACAGGCTGTCAAAATTCTCAAAGCTCGGCTACCATTCATCATTGCAAATTTTCAAATAAAAAAAATCTACGACTTAAAAATAAAAATATTAAAAGAAATTACAAAAAGAAAAATGGGCTGATACTTCAAGAAAAATTTTTTAAGAAAAGAAAGCTGAAACAAAATAAGGGGACACCCCAAGTAGGCGCGCGGCCATAACGGCGCAAAGCCATAACTTGCTTCAAGATTTCCGAATCTTACCAAATTTAGTATTAAACGATTCCTCTCATCGAGCTAAAGAGATTGGTACCAAAATTGATACGGGTCAGAAATTTTTCAACAAGTTATCGCTTTGCGCCGTTATGGCCGCGCGTCTATTTGGGCGTGTACCAAAAAGAACAGCTTGAGTCTTAATGTAAAATCAAATGATAAATAAATGTATGAATTTATATGTAAAGAATATAAATTGATAAAAATCGAAATTAATATTTTATAGAAAAATTTAAAGATGGAAAAAAAATATTTGCAGTCATCAACAAATTATTCAAGCTAGCTAGTAATTTTCAATGTGAATAATTTTAAGACTCTAGCGTTCTTTTAATTTAAAATTTATTAAAACGAATTCCCTGATTTTCGCAAGAATTCAAATAAAATTTAATGCCAACGTGTACCTTAACAAAAAAAAATTATTTTTTGTGGTAAATCCATTTATGGCAGAATGAATTTATAACTTTTTGGATAATATTTATAACCAAAATATTTAAATAATCTTATTTAAATGGCTTCAATCAAAGATTTATCAAACAAATTTAATGATTTAACAGGCGTTCCAAAGGTTTTTTTTTAATTTTTTTGTATTTTTGTCAATGAAGTACCCCTTCCCCTCTATTTTTTTCTCACTGTATAAAGATGGTCAATTTTCTGAAGAATGAAGAACACAACCAGCTGTGTCAAACCTTGCCCAATCGCGCTGATTTTTATGTCTTTCGACTCAGCTCGGCGAGCTCTTTCGAAAGAGCTATCATTTTTTAAACTGTCGCCCCTATGGTTTTTCATATTTGAGAGGACTGTATCTCGGTCAAATCAAGTCGGATTTTTTTTGGTGTCATTCGACACAACTGGTTGTGTTCTACATTCTTCTGAAAACTGACCATTTTTATACCTTGAGAAAGAAAAAATAGAGGGGGCGGGGATACGAAGTTCAAAACTTCAACATTTAAATTCTTAATTCAGATATTAGATATTCTTCCTCTTGAAATACAAATAGATATTTTAAAATGTCTCGATTATAACCAATTAACAACTCTTCAACAAACAAATAGTCAAATACATAAATTAATTAAACATTTTGAGAATAAATTGGCTCGAAGAAATTTTTCTGTTCTTAAAATTGTAATTTTTAACAATTATTTTTTATTTTAAATCAAAATTTTAAGGGGTCTGATCATGACATGTTTTCTTATTCTGTTCCTATGATTAGGTATCTAATTACAGAAATGGTTTATGATTTTCAACCAAGCAAGGAACTTGAACAGAAGGTTTGTAATTTTCTAAAGTTTGTTCTATTTGCTTCTTTTTTAGTGGGAAATTGCTTTAAATAATCAAATTCCAATGTATTTTTACCTTAACGAGGATGATAGAAATGTTTATGTAATAGCAGAATGTATGTAAATATTTTATTTAATTTTCTGTGAGAGAGTGAACAAAACTATTTTTTTGTCTTCAAGTTTAACCAGAATCAGAGACCGGCAAAATCGAACTTCCGGGATCCCGAGTTTTCTTAACCGATGCCGGGACGTGATCCCTAGTGATAAATCTCGGATCCCGAAAATCAAAAAAATCCGGGATTTCGGTATCGGGATCCCGTCCAGCGCCGGTCTCTAACTAGAATTGAGAATGATAGGATTTACTTGTTTTAATCTCAAATATCCAGTGATCCCACAGTCCCTTGAACTACTATTTTAAGAGACTGTTTTGGTTAGTGGTTTTTTTTCAGATTGGAACTTTATTAAGTGTAAGGTTAAACTCATGGACAAAAAGTTGAATTTTGTTCCAAAAATATTTGATGCAATTTTAGTTAACTAACATTTTTTACTTTTTAAATTTTTACAGCAAATACCTGCTTTTATCGCTTTGAACTGTTTAAATGGCCAACAAAAATTGATCACCTTATTTTTGCTCGTCACTGTTTTGAATTACTCTCTCATTGCCATTTTGATGAAATTATTTTTGAAAGAATTGTGTTTAATCCACAAATATTTAATTTAATTTTTGATGATCTACCAATCAAATTAAATTGCAATATTGCTAGACTGTTGCTGAATAATATAGATTATGACAATCAAGCGTTGGAAGTTGTTAAAAATAATTTGGTAATTTCCAAAATGCTAAGTTTTCGATTTATTTGGGCAGCTTTTACAACTTTATATGAGGTTGATAAATACATTTTTTTGAATTTTTTGTTGAATGGAGGCGCTAATATCCCTCTTGCTTCTATTTATTATATTGGATCTGCTATTGAACTTCACAAGGAAGTTATTAAGGTTTGGATATTTTTCGTAACTTTTGCTAAAAAGGGATGAAATTCCTCTTATTTTAAAAATCGGGAAATAAAATCTTAAGGTTAAGGGATTTTGGGACACGCCCAAGTAAGAACGCGGCAAAATAGGCGCAAAGCCATACCTTTTGAAAATCTCTGGCCCTTGTTAATTTTGGCATCAATCTCTTTAGCTCGTTGAGAGTAATCGTTTAATACCGAAGTTGATAAGATTCGGAAATCTTGAAGCAAATTATGTCTTTATGCCTCCTTGCCCGCGCGCTACTTGAGCTGTACCCTTGGATTTTTTAAAAATTCATTTTTTCAATGACTGAAAAATCTCAATATTTTATTTTCTGTTCAAAAAAGTTTCTCTCTAATTTTTCCGATTTGTTAATGAGTGATAACGTATATTTCAAAAATTATCTAAATATTTTTAAAGTTTGCCGAGACTTCATCAGATTGTTCTAAAATGGTGAATAGCATTGAATTTCAACGACTTGAATGGTCTATGCCAAAATTTAGTTCAAGAGTTAAACTAATTAGACAAAAAGAATATATTAAAGGAGAGAATCAACACATTTTTTTAAAATACGAAACTTCAAATGTGCATAATTCAAATTTGGTTTTTTATATTTTTATTTGGAAAGAAGTCAAAGCTGAAACAATACACCGTTTTAGAATACAAAAATTTATTCGGGCTTCTATTGAAAAATAGTTTTTTTAACTAATTTTTAAAATATGTATTAGAGATCGGAAATGGTCCTTTCCCCGGTTGCTTCAATAAAGTTTGCCGAGACCTTCATCAATCAAAGGTCCCTTTTTCCGGTTTTCGAGTCCCGGTTTCCATGTGTCCCTTTTTCCCGCTTTTTTTTGAAGCAACGGGGATGAAACCGGGAACGGGAATTTCGGGGTTTTCCCGGTTCGGGTCCCTCCCGGTCAACTTTTGGAACTCGGTTCCTGGACCCGATTTTTTATTCTAAAATGCTCTTTTTCCCGATCTCTAATATGTATACTTAGTTTTTAATTTTTTGTGCAAGTTTTATTTGAAAATTATTTTGTATTCCCTAATTATTCTTCCTAACATTTACTTTTTTTTAATTTGGAGATCGGACAGCTTTTTTTGAAAATTAGGAAATTTTGGAAAAAATTTTTTGGGAAAATCTCGATGTCCTGTCTCTCAGAAAGTATATCCAACATTCTTTTCTTAACTAAATATATTTCCTAATTCCAATTCCCAATTAATTTTTTTTTGTAATTTCGTGCCAGAATTTAATTATCTCTAACAATTTACTTTAAAATAATTAATTTTAATCAAACATTTTTAATTAAAAAAATTTTTTCTCAATCGTTTGGTTTATTTGCCTTTAAATTATTTTTCTTTTTTTAATTTTTATTGTTTTCTTATTTTAGTTTTTAATATTTTAAATAATATTACTTTTATTAAAATATGGCTACATGGGATGAATATCTTCAAAATCAAATAAATAATGATGGAATTCAAATGACTTGGAATGTTTTGCCTCATTCTAGAGTTGATTCTCAAAAATTGATTGTTCCTGTTGCTACATTTTTTACTCCGTTAAAGGTTTAGTTTTGAGTAAAAAAGATGTTAAATATTTTGGGGGACCTGGAAAAAATTATTTTTCGGAGGGCGCATGGAAAATTACAATCTAACAAGAATTCTAAAGGATTCAAATTTAGGAAAAGGCAGCAGACCAGCCGAAACAACCGGTAATGGAATATGATCCAATTCTATGTCAAAAACAGTCTTGTAAAGCTGTCCTCAATCCGCTATGGTTAGTTTAATTTGTAGAATTTTGTGCCTTAAAAAATTCTTTTCTACGATTAAAAATTCTTTCAATAATTTTTTACATTTTTTTCAAAATTTTAGTATGATCGATTACCGAACAAAAATGTGGATGTGTCCATTTTGCAATCAAAGGAATCCTTTTCCTCCACATTACGCAACTATTTCTGAGGAAAATAAACCGCCAGAATTGCATCCATTTTTTACGAGTCGAATACACACTTAGGGTATTTTCTTTAATTATTTTTATTCGTTTTTAATTTGAAGGGGGATTTACGGTTAAAATTCGATTTTTTTTCGTGTATGCTCCCAAAGTCCGCAAATTTTGTCTGCAAGTCAAATTTTTTCAATCTTTTTTATTTTTCAGAAGGCCACAACACTTGCACCTATTTTTCTTTTTGTTGTCGATACCTGCTTGCCAGCTGAAGAATTGAAGGCTCTAAAAGATGCACTTCAAAAAGCGATTGCCTATTTACCTGCAGATGCTTTAATTGGACTGATAACATTTGGAAGAGTAGTGGAAATTCATGAGCTTAATGTGAAAGGAATTGCGCGTTCTTATGTCTTCAAGGTTGGGTCTACTTTTATTTTTAAAAATTTTTTTTGGGTCTATAAAAGTTAGAAAAATTTGTCGAAAATGAGAGTAATAGAGATCGGAATTTTTGAAAAGCCTGGGCCTGTTCCTGGGTTCCATGTTTGATTTATTGACCTGGGCCGGATTCTGGGCCTGTAGTCCAGGAAAAACTCAGGCTCAAAAAAACCCAGGAAGGTCAAAAAATGCCTGGGCCTGGACTCTGGGTACAGGAAAAACCCAGACCTTGGGTCAGACCCAGACCGATATCTAGTGAGTAATTGTGTTTGTTTTGTCGTGTGATATTTGTGTAATTTAAGTCAGTGAACATAAAGAATTGTGTTTATTTTATTGGGTTTAGAATAAAATTTCAATGAGATCATTTGTCAATAAATGAGGAATTTCTTAATAAATATTTTATTTTAAATTCATCCCATCATTATATTTCCTCCAATTCGACTGAATCGTTTCTCTGTAAATTCTCGTTGAATCCTATTTTCGGGCTGAAAAATATTTTAAATTTAGTTTTCGAAAATTTTCTTTCCTATATTTTACCGTGAGAATGCTTCCTTCATTAAAAGCAGCAGCTAATTGACGTTTAGTCCTTCCATCTTGTCCATTTTGTATTTTGTAGTTATACATTTGTGAATCTGCTGAATTAAGAGGAGTTGGACGGCGTAACATTTTAATTAAATTAATATATTCTGCTGTGTTTTTGGATGTAATAATTGGAACAAAAATTAAATTTTCAGTATTTTGTTGTTGTTTTGTGATGATGAATAGAGTAAAAATAAATGGAAGAATGAAATAGTAGTTAGACATTTTTAATAGGAAAAGAGGATTTTATTTAAGAGTGAAAGTTTTGTAAATAAAATTCTGAAAAATAATGTTGAGGAAAGGGTCTAGTTCATAAACTAACAAAAATTTCTTTTAAGTAGCCTTAGTTGAAAGGAGTTATAGACGTGGAAGATTGCTAACAATAACTTGAGAATAAGGAAAAACCCCCCAACCAAACTTATTAGTAGGATTGTGCCCCGTCCTCGAAGTCGGGGAATTTGAGAGATTTTTTGATATAGTAGGGTTGTTCATCCGTCATCCGTTGCTCCTCTCTCGTCGGAGAACAACCCTACTTATTAGCTAACTTATTATTAAGCAAGAAGTATATTTTAAAAGTTATTTTTTTAATTAATAGATATTTAGTAAAAGAAAGTGTCTATTTTTTAAGTTTAACAAATAAGAATCAAAAAAGGTAAAACAAAATTAGCTAATAATTTTGTTATCACATAAAAAATTATTTCGGAATTTATTCACCTAAATTTAAATTAAATGATATGAGAATTCCTTTTTTATTTCTTAGATTTTTTTCTTTTTAATTTTTAAAGATGTTTGTTTACAAAAGATATTTTTAATGAAAAATAACAGGGAATTTTGAATTAAAAAATGATAAGGGTCTCGGGGAAATTTTCGGGGAGGTAGTGCCACGAGGATGTATTTTTTCATCACATCTTTAGTATTTTAGGCAAAATTTTGTTAATTTTTTGGCATCGAAGACGTCTAAAAATCTTATATTTTCTTGTTTATATTCTCCGAAAAAATAGAAGAAATCAAGAGAATGTTTCTCAATATTTTAGATAAATTTTGTTAATGCTCAAGAGGCATCACAAACCACCCCCTGTCACATAAGCGCATTTATTTGACTGGTTGCGAATGACACACAAAGTAAAACTCAATTATAGAAACATTCTTTTCTGGGAGTTAAATGTGGCAGCTTTGTGTGCCTTTAAATAAATTGCATTTTTTGCTCGACATATCTAAATTTGGAAATATTTGCTTTAATTTAGACAAATATCCACTTTAATTTATTTGGGGATAGAAAAGGGATTAAAATAATCTAGTAGATTAAATTTTGATTAAAAATTGTGACATTACCAGACATGAGTGGATTCTTTTGGAAATTAAGAATATAGTAATTAGAAAATTTCCAGAGAAAATTTTAATTAATGGATGGGATAAAATTTTAGAGTACTTTATGGATATGTCACCCCCCTATTTGGAGTCAGAGTTTTCTTTATACGTAGAAAATGGTCTACGTTTTCTACGTATAAGGAAAATCTCTGACCATTTTCTACGCATAAGGGAACTCTGAGACTCAAAATAGGGTGGGGGGCATATCCATAAAGTACTAATTTTAGAATTTTTTGGAACTATTTTTATCTTTGAACTTTCTTAAAAATATTTTTTCAACATTCGTTCATCTTTGCTTTAAAATTAATTTAAAATTATATTCCTTATATAGTTTCCCCTTTCTTTTAATTTAAAAAATTCTTCCTTATTAAGTATGAAAATAGCTTTTATGGCATCTTAAAAAGAAGCATGTAAATTCTGGAGTAATTCTATTTAAAGGAAAAAAATATTTGGAAAAATCCTTACGTGAATAAAAATATAAACTAGAAAAAGGAATGGGGACAACTTTATTTAAATCAAAACATTTTTTTGGTCCAAAAATCTTTTACTAAATCCCATTTTTCTATTTTGCATACATAATTATTTTAACGTGGTTTTTATGGTTTTTGAAAAGATTTGTTTGTTTTTTCCTACCATGTGATGAATATTTATGTGTTTTTAAAAAGAGACTGGCTTTGTTTAAAGAATGATAATTGAGAGTGATTATTGTTTGAAAGAATTTGGGGTATTTGTACTTTAAATATTTTAAAGATAATTATTTTGTACCTAAATGTTTGTAAAAATAAATGATATTTAATTAGAAAAATGAATTATTGTAGAAAACAAGGTGAATAATGATTAGCTAGGATATTTAGAGGGATTGGGGGAAAAGTAAACAAAAATTACGGAAAATTTTAAATGAAGTTTTGTAATGAAAAAACAAAAGAAATTATTTTAGGGCACAAAAGAGGCAAATCCCAAACAAGTTCGGGACATTATTGCAATGCAAATTGGACAACCTTCTACCGGTTCTCGCATTTCTGCAACCTCTACGCCAATTCCTAACCAACAGCTTGTTAATGGGATACAGCCAGCAATGCACCATAATATGCCTCCGGGTGCAATGCCGGTATTTATTAATTTTAGCTGATTTCGAAATCCTTGGCATAGAAGCCTTGGAAATTAAACTTTAATTTTTTTCCTTACCAGCAAATTCCTGGAGCTATTCCTCCTCCTGGCATGCAAAGACCACGTATGGGTTCTCATCCAACTCAACCTCCAATGCCTGGACAAATGCCAACCACTATGCCTTTGCCTCAAGGTTCTAATGTTCCTCAGGCTGGGGGAACAATTGCAGCACAAAATTTGCAGAACAAATTTCTCCAGGTGTCGTATAATTTTCTAAAAAATTTTTTTTAAATTTTTATTGACTAGTTGATGTTTGTTTTTGGATTAAATTCTAAAATATAATTGAATGGTTTCTACAAAATAATACATATTTTATTTTTACTTGTTATTAAGTAGCTATTTATGGGGCTCAATAACGGGGCTAACATTAAAAAGACTAAATGTTTATAAGTAATTTTTTATGAGTAATTTTTATGAGTAAACAACGGTTGTTTATGTGTTATTTTATTGCTACAAATTATTATATGGACAAAAGATTACTTTAATGGGATATCCCTTAATTAGTTTTGGAAATAACGAGAATGAATATTTAATTAATAGAATAAGTTAAGACAGTCTTTTACTCCTTTCCTCATTGAAAAATAATAAATTGTTAAATAAGTACTTTAAAAAAATTTTCTTTTTTTGCAGCCAATCTCGGAATGTGAAGTCTCTATTGGCGAACTCATAGACAAAATCCAGACGGACCGTTGGCCTGTCCCTCAAGGGAATCGTCCATTACGCGCAATTGGTGCTGCACTTTCAGTTGCGATTACTTTATTGGAAGTGAGTCATTAAAAACAATTTTTTTAATTGTTTTGCTAATTAATTTTTTTTGTTTGATACAAATAAATTTTTGTTTTTTAAGGTAAGCTTTCCAAACACTGGTGGCCGTATAATGACGTTTATTGGCGGGCCTTGTACTCATGGTCCGGGAATGGTTGTTAATGAGGAACTGAAAGATCCTATCCGTTCTTGGCACGATATTAAAGAGGATAACATTCCGTTTATGAGAAAAGTGGGACTTAGAAGAATTTTTTTCATATTTATTTAATTTTAGGCCTTTAAATTTAATGATGCATTAGCTGAGAGAGCTGTCAAAAATGGGCATGCTATAGATTTGTTTTCTTGTGCACTAGACCAAACTGGACTTTATGAAATGAAAGCTTTGTATAGCCAAACTAATGGTACTAGAATAGTTAATAGGGTTGTTCCCCGACGGGCGGGGGGGCCACGGGGGAAATTTTCGGGGAGACAGCGCCACGGGGCGGGGAACAACCCTACTACTTAATAAAGGATTTTTTTATAATTTAAATTTTTTAAGGCATTGTTGTGATGGCAGATTCTTTCGATTCTTCCCTTTTCAACCAATCGTTTCAAAAAGTTTTTGAGAAAGATGGAAATGGTTCTCTAAAAATGGCATTTAATGCTTCTCTAGAGGTTTTATTAAAATTAGATTATTTTTTAAATTATTTTTTAATTAGATCAAGCTTGGAAATGGACTTAAAGTTGAAGGTATTCTTGGTTCCTGTTGTTCAGCCAACGCCAAAAATTCAACGGTTTCTGATACTGAGGTTGGAATTGGTGGTACTACACAATGGAAAATGTGTTCTTTAACGCCGAGAAGTACTTTTGGATTTGTTTTTGAGATTGCTGGACAGGTTGTTTTAAAAAATTTTTTACTGGGATTGGTTCTTTCTTTTTTGATTTTCGAATCTAGATAGAAAAACCTCCAAAAATCAAAATTTTACTGCACTCTGATTTCGGTGGACTTTGCGAAAATTAATTGTCTTCTTTTTTAAATTTTTTCCTATTTTAGCATGGCACAGCAATCCCTCAAGGTGCTCGTGCAATGTTTCAATTTATTACTCAATATCAACATGCTGATGGACGACGACGTATTCGTGTTACAACAACTTGCCGTTCTTGGTCGGATATGGAAGCAAATAAACAGTCAATAAGTTATAGTTTTGATCAAGAAGCTGCTGCTGTTTTAATGGGAAGACTTGCATCTTGGAGAGCTGCGAATGAAAATGATTCTCCAGATGCTTTGCGTTGGTTAGATAGAAGCTTGATACGTTTGGTTAGTTTTTTGTGGTAGCCTTCTCAAGGGCGTAGCCAGAGGGGGGGGGGCTTCTGGGGCTATAACGCAAAGTAAACGCCAAAATTTTGGCACACGTCCCATTTTAGCCCCCCCTGAAATCGACCCCCTGGCTACGCCCTTGAGCCTTCTTTTCCTTAAAATTTTTATCTTTTTTTAGGTCCAAAAATTTGGTGATTACCACAAAGATGATCCAGCTTCTTTACGTCTTTCAGACAAATTTTCTCTTTTTCCACAATTTATGTTTCATTTGCGTCGCTCTCAATTCTTACAAGTTTTTAATAATTCTCCGGATGAAACTGTTTATTATAGGTATTTTTTCTAAAAATATTTTTTTCTAAAAAAACTCATTTGAAGGCACATTCTTTTTGAAGAAAACGTTTTTGAAAGTACAACAATGATTCAACCACAACTTTTCTCTTATTCATTTAATGGACCGCCAGAAGCAGTTTTACTTGATACTTCAAGTATACAGCCTGACAGAATTCTTTTAATGGATGATTTCTTTCATGTTTTAATTTATCATGGACAAGTATTTTAAAATTATTTTAAATTTAAAAGAAAATATTTTTTAGACAATAGCTGCTTGGAGAAAGGCAAATTATCAAAATGATCCACAATATGCTTCATTTAAACAATTGCTAGAGGCTCCTGTTCAAGATGCTTCTAGTATTTTACAGGATCGTTTTCCTGTGCCGCGTTACATTGTAACGGAATATGAGGGTTCTCAGGTATAAAATTAGTGAATTATGTATTTTTAAGAGAGAGAGAGATTAGCTTGGATTTGTATACAGACTTTGACTTTTTGGATTTAGGGCCAAAGTCGGGACGTAGATTTTTCGGCTCTACTACAGTTTATGAGTCCAATCGAACTTTAGAGTTCAATCAAAACCCACTGGACGTAGGTCTCGTCCATGAAGAAATGTTTTGGAGCTATACCCCAACTTTTCAACACCAAGAAAAATCCAATTATTTTTGATTGGACTCATAAACTGGAGTAGAGCCGACTTTTCAAGGTCTCCTAATTTCTCTGACTCCAGGCCAAAGATCTCACCTTATAAATTTTCTTTTTTTAAAAAATTTAAAAAAATTTTTTTAGGCACGATTCCTTCTCTCCAAAGTTAATCCATCACTGACGCATAATAATCCTTACTCACAGGTTTTATTAAAATTTATTCTCATTTTCAAAAAATCTTATTTATTAAAGGAGGGCGGTGCTCCAGTCTTTACAGACGATGTTTCAATGCAAGTATTTATGGAACATTTGCGGAAATTGTCTGTTTCAACTTCTGGTTAATTTTTTTAAAAAATTTGATGAAAATGTGAAGAAAATGATTGACAAATTTGTTAATTAATTATAAAAAATTAAAATTATTTCTCTCTATTTTTGTGTTATTTATCCAACTATTGTAGTTTATTGGACATATGAAATATATTCCTAATTTATGTTTCATTAAATATGTTTGTGATTTTATTTTTTTAAAATTAGTTTTAAATATTTAATAATTGATATGTATTTTTATTAGATTATGTTTTGTTATTTAATTAAAAGTAAAATTATAAGGGGGAAATATTCTTGTGAATTGTCTAGTTCTGTCCTTTTATGTTTTTTTGTTAAGAGTTGGGAGATTTATTGCCAATGAAAATTAAATGAAACGTTTTTGCATGAAACGTAAAACGAGAAAAATGACACTCCTACGCTTGCTGGTTTAGTAGAAAATTGGGAAAATTTAAATGTTAATTAACTAAGATTAACTACGAGAACTACTCCCATAAATTATTTAAAAAATTACTCTCTCATGTGGGGCCTGGAAATCCCATTTTAGACTTAATTTATTTTTAAAAATATTTCTAAATAAAATTTGTTTGTCGCACTTAAAAGTGCAGACATGTGCCCTCCTTATGCACTTTAAGAAAATATTGCGAGTCTAGTCTGGGGACGTGTCTGAGGACATGTATGCCCTTTTATTCAAACGAAATGCCGAAAAATGTTGCACTTTTATTTAAAAATAAAAAATTTTTTTTAAATCTTTTAAAATTATACATTTCATAATTTAAAAATAAAATTATTTTTATAAAGATGTAATAAAAATAGGGCAAAGGAAATTAATTAGAGATTAATATGGTTATACGACACTTGGGGACGGACTTTTGCGGACCGACATTTGAGGATGGACATTTGAGGATTGCGGACCGACATTTGGGGATCGACATTTGAGGATCGAATTTGAGGAATCGACATTTGAGGACCGACATTTGGGGATCGCCATTTGAGTATAAGAATATTTGTATCTTAAAACAGAAATTATCACAAATTATGTACTATGGTGAAGTTGTTGCACAAGCGGGGGAAGTTGACTTGTCGGCGGGGGATGCTGTTTAACGACGGTGGAAGTTGTTCAGACAATGGGGGAAGTTGTTCCGTAAACGGGGGAAGTTGTTCAGACAACGGGGGAAGTTGTTTCATAAACGGGGGATGTAGTTCCGACAACGGGGGAAGTTGTTCAGACAACGAGGAATGTTGTTCCGACAATGGCAAGAATTTTTTCGTCAATGGTGGAAGGTAATCTGCGTGTTGAAATAACCTCTCCCGTCGTTGGAACAACATCCCCCGTTGTCTGAACAACTTACCCCGTCGTTAAACAGCATCCCCCGCCGACAAGTCAACTTCCCCCGCTTGTGCAACAACTTCACCATAGTACATAATTTGTGATAATTTCTGTTTTAAGATACAAATATTCTTATACTCAAATGGCAATCCCCAAATGTCGGTCCTCAAATGTCGATTCCTCAAATTCGATCCTCAAATGTCGATCCCCAAATGTCGGTCCGCAATCCTCAAATGTCGGTCCGCAAAAGTCCGTCCCCAAGTGTCGCACCACGATTAATATAACTTTTTTCTTACAAAATTAAATTTTAATAAGAAAAAAATATTTAGTAAGAGATGATAAAATTTAATATTTATCGTAAATACTCTAATAGAAGCTCACCTCTAATAAATATAAGCCCATCCCAGAGAGCCATTGAGAAATATAAGCCCAGGGCTTCAATTAGAGTATTTACGGTATTTTTTTAATATTAAATTACATTGCCGTATTTACTCGAATAATTCCCCTTCTCGATTCATCCCTCATGCTAGAGTTGGGATGAAACAATAATTCCCCTCCTCCAAATACCCTACCACACGTTCAAATTTCAAAACTCGAATACCTAATTCCCCTCCCTTGAATAATTCCCCATGCCACGGATGGGTTGAAAAAATAATTCCCCAGATGTAGATAATGCTTAGATAATGCTTTAGATACGGTAGATAATGCTTGACAATTAAAATTAAAATAAATTAAAAATTATTAAAATTTAATTAAATTTTATTTTTTTAGGAAAATATTATTTTTTCTATTAAAAAATCCTTTAAATAAATTTCCATGTTCCTTTTAAAATTAAATGGAATATTATTTATTTTAATTTTATTAAAATTAATTTTTATTCAAAATACTGAAGGGGTTGATGATAATGAAAAAGAAAATCAAATAAATAAAGAAATGGTTGAAAAAGAGTTTAAAATTTATAAAAAACTTCCTTTTAAAGAGGAGGGAAGTAATAGCAAAAAAAGCAAAAAAGGGAAAAATAAGAAAAACAAAGAAGAAAAGGGTATATTAAAATTAAAAAGAAATTTTTTTTTGAGGAATTTTTTTTACTTGAATGAATTATTACAAGTAATTTTAAAGAAAGCTAGGGGGGATATTGTACATAAAAAACGAAATTTAAAGCATATAGCTAATAATTTCATAAGGCTGCGCAGTAGGCGGCATGGTGTAATGGCTAACACATCAGTCCGGTCTACTGAAGATGCTGGTTCGCTCCCAGCCGCCGATGAACCTTTTGCACTAGCTAAAGGAGAGAAATAGCCATAGCCCAGCTGCTTTACTGAAATAAGGGTTAATCTACTAGCTACTGTGGTTTATTATTTCAGTAAACTAATATTTTTTGTTAATAAAAAGTGAAGAAATTGACCTGTAAATATTACCAAATCTTTCATAAACTTGATAAAAATTTATTTCTTTTCCTTCAGTTATTGAAACAAAAGTTTCCGTCGAAGCTAAAGGTCTTAATCCAGATGCTAGCCCTTTTACTCTTCCTCAGCGTCAAGTAACAAACAACGAATCCAATACAAAGTTATTTTAAAAATTGCTTTAATACTAAAAAATATTTAATTTTATTTAAGTGTTAATCAAGGAACGTCTTCATCCGTTCCTCAAACGGTATATTTTTCATGTCTGCTAAATTTTTTCTAGTTGAGCGGCCCTTCTATTGAAAGGCCATCTCCATCAGAGGCAATCTTCTGAGAGGGGATCGGAAATAGAGAGCATCCCCCTTTAATTAAAGAAAATTCTGTACAATTTAAACCTCATTAACACACTAAAAGTCAAGTAAACTATTTAGCTTCTTAAACAAATTTCAGCAAAATAATTCTCGTAATGGCATGTCAATGCGTCGCAGACGCACTAGAAATCATCGAAACCGTTCAAGACAAAATAATCAAACAATAAACCCTCAAATTCACCATCTTCAACCTCCACCACTTTTCTTTGTCCATCATCCAACAAACTTCTACCAAAACCCTTTAGCGCAAAATATTTCTGGCACCGGAGTTTTCCTTCGCGATCGTTCATTTAATCGCCGAAACAATTCTCGACGTATTAATCGCCAGACTACAACAATTCCGATTCCAGCTCCATTAATGCCCAACCAACACCAAAATCCTTTAACGCAAAATAATTCTGGCACCGGAGCTTTCCTTCCCAATCCTGAATTATATTCTTCAATTAATCAACATAACCATTCTCAACGTATTTATCGCCAATCCAACACCATTCCAATTCCTGCTCCGGCTCCATTAATGTCCATCCATCACCAAAATCGTTCTTTCCACAACGTCCATCAACTTCCTCCAATTTATCAACCAAATTATCCTCAATTAAGACAACATTCTGGAATTCGCTTTAATTATCAATTAAATCCTTATGCTAAAGAATATATTCCTATAAAATACCAAAATATATTCAATAACCCTCATTTTAACCCTTATCAACCGGAAACCTCAAATTTTCATCAAAATGGTGGTAAATAAAAGGGGTTACTTTCTGAATTACAAATTTTATTTTTAGGAAATAATATTTGGAGCAACAATGGAAATGTTAATTAAGTTGGGGAAATTGTAGAAGAAAAGGCACTAGTTTGAAATAAGGGATAATTTCATTTTAAAGAAATTCAATTAAGGCCTTTTGTAGATCCAATCTGCTAATAATTAAAACGCTTACAAAGGAGAGAACCTGGGGGTGTCCGAAGGACTTCGGGATGAAATTTGGTAGACATGTAGATTATACCCTACTTTAGTTGCGAAATTTCCACCATTTCCGCTAAATGTTATCGTGGACCTGTTCCGAAGTCCCGCGGACATCCCAGGCACTCTCCTTTGCTAGCGGGGGTTAAGATTTTTAAGTGGGAAAGTTATAGCCTCGGTATCTCGTTCGGTAGAGAAACTGAACGTTTGGAAAACGAATTGCCGAAAACAAAAACGAATAACTTTTGCTTACTTTTAATTAATAAAACAGACTTGTTACTTTATTATTCGATAATTATTTTGTGTAAATTCACCATAACCAAGTAATTGTGCCCTTATTTCAAACTAGAGCCATTTGTGATATTAATGGATGTTAAAAATTCAAAGATGATTGGTTGAATTAGTTTAGATTAACATAAAAAATTTAAAATTATTTTAACAAGTTAAAAATTTTTGAATATTTTTGTTAAAAAAAATAAACGTTGAAGTATATTGTTTATTATACTCTGTCACAAAAGTATAAGCACCCCTAAAATTTTTGTGAAAACACGTGATCCCTTCACATTATTTGTTCTATTTTTTTTCGTACATTAGCAGCGATCCTAACCGTCAATAAAAATAAAGTTTCAGAATATTTTCTCGGTTTAAAACTTTTAAAATTGGATTTTCTCAGAAATCATGTGTCACAAAAGTATAAGCACCCCTGTAAAAATTTTATTTCTACTCATTGTAAATTTCTACAAAAAATACAGCAAACATCACTATCGATATCATAAAGAATAAAAAAAGAATTAGGCCCATATCTCATTCCAGTGTCGAGATTTCGATACCCTGAAAATCAACGTAAAACAGGGTTTTTCAACTTCAAAAAATTTTTTCGGCCCCTTATGGTTTGTTTTAAATTTTCAATTTGAGCTCATTCGAAAGCCCTTTAAATTTGCTACAAGATAGCG